GCATAGTGCTTGGGTCCTCCAGTGATTCTGCCATAAGGACTATATCGTCGGCAAATCGAAGGTGAGTGATGGACTCGCCATTGATGTTAATACCGTATCCGTTCCAGTCCAGAAGCTTGAAAACGTCTTCCAATGCAGCGGTGAAGAGTTTCGGGGATATAACATCGCCCTGTCTTACACCTCTCTGCAATTGAATAGGTTTCGTACTCTAGACGATACGTAGACGATTCGTAATTACTCTCGAAAACAGCACGTAGACGCGGCTCAGAAGGGAAATCGGTCTGTAGTTATTCAAGAGAGCGTTGTCACCTTTTTTGAAGAACAAGACCACCGCACTTCTGCTCCACGCCTCCGGTGTAACGCCACCATGGAGGACGGAATTAAAGAGCTTCTAAAGGACTTCAAGTATTCCGCTGTAATTCCATCCTCGCCTGGGGCCTGCCGTTTTTAAGGTGCTGGAGAGCCATTCTAATCTCGCTCAGACTGTCGTCCGGGATATCTTCGGAATGATGTCTGTTACGGCCTACGGCTGCTCCCTTAAACGGTCAAATCCTCTGGGGTCCATGAGCAGAAGACTTCCCGAGCAGACGTAGGTCGGGCCTCAATGTGGCCACGTGGAATTTCTCTAATTACACTAAACTATATGGGGGAGCGTTCTATACTACGGCCAGTCGACCGGGAGGATATTAGACGGAGCTTACTTACCTATATCCAAGGCGACTGGTCCCTCCGGAGTCGGTCAGGTCGCATGTGGTTGTGTAGTGCAAGGAAAATAAGGTGATGTGATGTGTATCTGGGTGTGACTGATGGTGATTGACCCTAGACCTTGGCCGTCGGCAGCAGCCCGGGCGTCGACACCGCTCCAAATTGAGGAAACCTTCCGCGGCGTTGTCCACAGTCACTTTCCTCGTTCGTCACGATGACATCGTAACGAACTAAACTGAAAATTAACTGTATCGTACGATTAACTAACTTACAGAAGCCACTTACTCTCGTTGGGTATAAGGTTAACGCACAAAACGCACACGGAGTTTCCGGATCAAGGTCACTACCGTTTCGCGTAGCAACAGTTATTTCTAGAATATCAAAGGCCGCACTAGCTAATATTGCCGAATGCACTTATACAGATTCTGAGTCAGACACAATGAGTCCCTGGGAAGCTTTCCAGCAGGAATGCGCGTCACTAATCCTAGACAGAATATTTACTATCCGCGCCTTATTATTCCGAGTACCCTAACAAAATTGACAGTGTGCTAACGTTAGCACCGCTGACAGACGAATTACTGCGCTTGTGCGTTTTACGCACGACCGAATGTCAAACCGGTATGACGCCGAGCCGCGCGCCCTCTCGACGTCGATTCCGACAACAGCGTTTGGTGCGAACAGTGTCGGATAAGACTCGCTCTTGGATCTCACTCACTCAAAATCGCAGGTGCCCCGGAAACGATGCTGCTACATTCGGTCTACAGCTTTGACAGTTGGCTTTTTCTGACAGACAGATCTCTGACAAAGAATTTGGAGCCTTGGTTCCGCTCGATCGCTTCTTCATACAAGCTGTATTGAAGTTGCGTAAGTTCCGCCGCATGCATTTGGAGATCTGTCTGTTCAGTTGCCTGTATGCTGTCAAATCTGTTGAAGAATGTAGCTTCATCTCCCGTCTAACAGCCATGTCATTGAGAGTGTGATCTGAGAGTTTTTGTGTTCGTCTGCGGCGGGTCTTGCAGAACTTAGCTCCGACCGCATGGACAGTTTCCATGAGCTTGTCATACACATATCGTCCACTTTATTGCAGTTTTCTAGGTACTAAAACGGTTTTGTAATTCGAGCTGAAAGGTTTCGGGACTTTGGAACAGAGCATGAGGGGGACGGAGCGTTGACTTTATTAGACGAGACCTCTCCAACTTAACGTTTAGGTTCAGTGTGCCTCTAACTATCGCTACCAGTTTTTACCCTCGTGATCACGGAGACATCACTGAACAGATTTATTGTGGAACGGTCGAGGCTCGACCAGGTCCACTTCCTGTGGGCCGCTTCTGGAAGAAAGAGTTCATCATAAAGAGTCCCTCTTTCTCCATGAAGTCGGCCAGCTGCTGGCCCCTTGGGATTCCGTTGCACTATTCCAAATTTCCCTACTTTCAGCTCACAGTTCTCTCTTGTGCCTAGTTTTGCATTGAAGTCTCCCATTAACACCGTATATTTGGTTTTGGAGGAATACATTGCTCTAGATATATCCTCATACATTTTCTCCACCTCCTCATCGGGGTGTGCCGAGGTTGGTGCGTAAACCGGATACGGTTTGGTGATTCTGACTATAAGGTACGCAACCCTCGTCGACACACTCCCGATCTTTACAACGTTGTTAACGAGAGACTTGTGGACGATAAATCTCCTTGGGATACATGGTCGCCCTCCCGGTGATAGAGCAAGTTGCCGGATTAGAAATTTACCGTGTCCTCCCCCTCTTTTCGGACATCGGATCATCTTCATCATCATCATCATTACAGCCCTTCACAAGTCCACTGCTGAACATAGGCCTCCCCCAAAGAATGCCACAAACCACGGTCCTGAGCCACCTGCATCCATCGACTTCCTGCATGTCTTACCAGGTCGTCACTCCATCTCGTGGGGGGACGCCCTACACTTCGCCTACCGGTACGAGGCCGCCACTCGAGAACCTTTCTTCCCCATCGGTTGTCGGTTCTTCGAGCTATATGGCCGGCCCACTGCCACTTCAGCTTACTAATCCGTTGGGCTATGTCGGTTACTCTGGTTCTACTGCGGATATCCTCATTCCTTATTTTATCACGCAGAGAAACTCCGAGCATAGCCCTCTCCATAGCTCGCTGAGCGACCTTGAGCTTTCTCATACGGCCAGCTGTGAAGGACCACGTCTCAGTTCCGTAAGTCATCACTGGCAACACGCACTGGTTGTACAATTTCGTTTTAAGGTTTTGAGGTATGTCTGACGAGAAGATGTGTCGTAGCTTCCCGAACGCTGCCCAGCCGAGTTGAATCCGTCGATTGACCTCTCGGTCGAAGTTGGACTTACCTAGTCGGACTATTTCTCCCAGGTAAACATACTCGTCAACAACTTCGAGCTTAGTGTTCCCAACAACTACCGGCATAGGTGTGACATGGACATTAAACATGATCTTTGTTTTGTCCATGTTCATCTTAAGACCTATCCGTTGGGAAACACTATCGAGGTCATTGAGCATAGTGCTTAGGTCCTCCAGCGATTCTGCCATAAGGATTATATTGTCGGCAAATCGAAGGTGAGTGATGTACTCGCCATTGATGTTGATACCGTATGCTTTCCAGTCCAGAAGCTTGAAAACGTCTTCCAATGCAGCGGTGAAGAGTTTCGGGGATATGACGTCACCCTGTTTTACACCTCTCTACTTCGGATAATCCTATAATATGCCATCACAACTTGTCTATCTCTTCTTCCAGCTCCACGATCTTCTCGTCAGTCCTCAGGGTGCGTGCGTTGTATATTGCCAGAACTAGTCGTCTTAGGTGGCAACCGAACCTCCACTGGAGATTCTTAGCACCCCCTGCCCCGCCGTTACTATGGTCGCCACCGTAGCCAGGAAAGGTGGGACCGCCGGGGACTGGGGGCCGTTTATTATTGTCATTGCTCATGGGGGGTATATTGCCATAGTTGCCATGCTTGGCGAGCGGGTTGGCAACCGCAGTTTTTTTTATTCTAATTTTTGCTGTTATCAGGAAGATGCTGCTGCCCATCTCCTGCCTGTTTCCCTTTGTCGCCTTTTACGATACCCACGGGAAGATATGGGGTAGCGGATATTCTTAACTGCCACTACACGGCTAATTGCTTATAATATGATTCAATGTTTAATAAATACTTTCCAATTATATAAATATATTGTTTATAAATATATCGTGTCATGTGGTGGCGGGTATTTATGACGAAAACGTAACTAAATCGCAGCTCAAAACAATCTTGAGGAAACATTACCTTGTGTCCTTAGTAGTGAATGTTTCTTTAATTATGTGTGTGTTAATTTAAGTATTTATAAGTAACATATTGTTATATAGGAGTGTGAAACGATAAACTGTTGCGTTGCCGACAAACTGGCATACAGTTTGGCAAAGTTTGAAATGTAAATAATGTAACACTCTTACTATGAATAAAATTTTTTTTCCAAAAACAACACTTACTGATAGTCTTTGGTTAAACCTAGGATGTACCAAACTCTAACGGTAAAAGAGCGAAAAGTCGTCGCATTTTATATCAATCCTTACATTTACGAGCTCATGTTGGTTAATCCTAGGATTTAAAAGTAAAACCTAAGATTCACCTAAATTCGGGCTTTTACAGTTACATATATAAACCAATTGAAACTCGTCTGCCTGCACTTTTTGCGAAATTAATTATTTCCTGAAATAACGTCATTTGTTGATATTTATCACTGTTTGTTGACCACTGTTGGGATCTTAGTTGTTTATAAATAATAAAACTGCAGATCGGGTGAAAATGCGTGTGCTCCGTGTAATAATTCTCTTGTACAGTAATGATATTAGTAACATTGACAGATAAAATTAGACAATTAATATTTTTGGAATAGCTTCTGGGCTTTTTTCCCATACAGATAAAAACTTAATGTTGTGTTGCCAACATATTGGCGGGGCAACTGGAAGATTAAGATGATAGGTACTTATTATTAAAGTATACAAACATTGAAACACCCTATTAATTCACATAGACAATATAGGTAATAAAGATATTAGTATTAACAAAAGGACAAGAAACAAAAATGTTATCTTATTGACATTAATCGAATTAACAAACTAATTGAAGTAATTAAGTACTAAACAATGTAACGGATAGGTACAGCATTTGTTTTGTTTATAAGACAAAAACGTTATCATTATTATTATTAAACTAAATGAACTTAAACTAATTATATTAATTACATAATAAACAATGTAGTGTAAAGGTACAACCTTTTTTTTTGTTTATAAGACAATCACTATTAGCCAGCACCACTGCATTCCAGCGGTAGAACACAAACTTTCATTACAGCTCTTTTATGTTTGTGGCCGTTAGCAGTTTTGACTTCAACTACTCTCACTTTTCCATCTTTACCAGGGTAGGTATTTATGACTCTGGCTAGGGGCCAGTATAGTGGTGACAAATTGAATAAAACTATTTTTACGGATTTTATCGCGTTTAATTTACTTATTTTATATTCCCGACGTTTCGGTTGCTTTCCAGCAACCGTGGTCACGGGGGACTGAGGTGATTGACGTCCCGATGTCAAAGTTAACCCGGAGTACCTTCAGCTTTTTAATTATTAATTTTGGTCCGATCTACGCAGAATGAACTAACTGTGTCTTGAAGTCTTACAGTGGTATGCTTGGGTTTAGTTTTAATTTTATGAATTACAGGATCCCAAGCAGGTGGTAGTACCCAGCCTCCCTCTCTATTGAAATTAGGATGTTTTTTAATTTCAATAGCCTCACGTATCATCCTTGGCAGGAATCGATGTTCTTTCGCGAGGACTTGTGGTTTATCAAATCTAATGTAATGACGGGGGCCGTCTAGGATATGATCACAAACTGCAGACTTCCCGGAACGTTGGTGCTTCACGTCAGCTATGTGTGAAGCACAAAAACAAACCGGGAATATAAAATAAGTAAATTAAACGCGATAAAATCCGTAAAAATAGTTTTATTCAATGTGTAGTGTTCGCGTAAATATAAGAAATCATTATGGTGACAAATTGTCATCCCTTAGGATCACCAATGCTCCTACCTTTACATTAGGTTGAATGTCTTGCCACTTAGGGCGAGATTGTAACAAATTTAAATAGTGCTTACTCCAAACCTTCTAGAACGACATTTTTATTTCATTACAAGTTTTCCAAAATTGAGATTGTTTTGTTATGTTTACATTGGGCTCAGGATAAGTATTTAAAGCAGTTCCTATTAAGAAATGACCTGGAGTAATACAAGTATAATCATTTGGATCATTGGATAATGGCATGAGAGGTCTGCTGTTTAAACTAGACTCAATTTGGCATATGACTGTATACAGTTCTTCATAAGTAAGAATGGACTTTAGTAACACTCTCTTTAAGTGGTACTTTACACTTTTGACGCCGGCTTCTGCCAATCCAGCGAAGACTGGTGAATAGCAAGGTAAAAAATGAAAATTAATCCTCTTTTGAGCTGAATATTGACACACCCGTCTTTGGTGAACTGGCGAGTTGTGAAAGTTATGTAGTTCGTTTAATTGGTTCTTTGCGCACTTGAAGGTTGAAGCGTTGTCGCTATATATGTCTGTGGGCAATCCGCGTCTCGATATAAATCTATTTAGGCAGGCTATAAAGGTTTCTGTTTTTAAATCAGTGGCTAGCTCCAAGTGGATAGCTTTTGTTACAAAGCACACAAACAGGCAAATATAACCTTTTGAGATTATAGGTTTTCTGATCCTGGCTATTTTCAGTGGTATCGGACCAGCGTAATCTAAACCTACCTTTTGGAAGGGGCGACATACATTGACCCTATCTGGCGGCAAAGAACCCATTAACTGTTTTGCTGATTCAGCTTTTAATCTAAAACAAACAGTACACTTATGTAACACTTTTTTAACTTGTCTGAGACCGTTCACTATCCAGAATCTTTGGTTTATCGATGACAGAACAAGCTTTGAACCCGCATGGAGGTTTTTTAAATGTTCACTTACAATAATTAAATTGGTGATGCGGGAGTCCTTAGGTAAGACAATGGGATGTTTCTGTGCATAGGGAATGGAGGCATTTTGTAATCGGCCGCCCACGCGAACCAACCCCCCATCATCGATAAACGGACATAATGGCTTTAAATTACCTTTAACAATTGTTTTCTTACATTTTAAGGCATGAATATCTTCTGACAAATATTTTTCTTGTTCATATTTTAGAATCATTGACAATGACAGATCAAGTTCCTGAGTTGTAATATAATTAAGTTTATTTTTAGAGACTGATTTTGACTTTGCATTCTGAACGAAACGTAAGATGTAAGCTAAAACTCTCGTCATTTTATTGATATCGGAAAATTTTTCAAGAAAATCGAGACATAACGATTGCACACCAGAAGTAGTACAAAGCATTGCACTTAAGCATGCAGAGTCGACGCTAACCTCTGGTAAATCCTGTGGCAAAATTAAATTTAATTGTGGCTTGTACTCACGTGAATGCAGAAACGCAGGCCCTTTCCACCACAGGTCATGATCGGCTAGCTCGTTTGGCATGACTCCTCGGCTAAGACAATCGGCGGGGTTCTCGTTCGAGCTAACGTATGACCATGTGTACTCTTGTGTAAGTTGTAAGATAACCTTAACGCGATTCGCTATATAAGCTTTAAGTGTATTAATGTTAGTTTTGAGCCAAGCTAATACTATTTGTGAGTCAGAATAAATTATAATATCCTGTATTTGCATTTTAACAGTTAATATGTGATGAACTCTGCTGACAAGCTTTGCCAGCAACAGAGCTGCATTAAGTTCTAGTCGAGGAACTGATAAACTCTTATTAATAGGATTTATTCGTGATTTTGAACAAAGCAAGGATGTCTTGACATTACCCATTGAATCCACGACTCTTAGATATACACAACAGCCATAACCAGTTTTGCTAGATGCATCAGCAAACCCTATAATTTGTGTAAAGCTTATGTCATGCACACTTATGTGTCGCGGTATACGCATTGGTTGCATTGTAAGCAAGCTATTATAAAACTTGTGCCAAAGCTGTAGCAGTTCACAATTTGGCACCGAATCCCAGTCCAATTTTTCTTGCCACAAGCATTGCATTATAGCCTTTGCGCTTACCACAATAGGTCCAGCAAGACCTAGTGGGTCGTAGAATCCACTTATGAAGCTAAGAATTTCACGCTTAGATTGAGGCATGTTATTAACAGTTTTTGGGCTTGATATGATAAATGAATCTAACTTAATATTGTAATTCATACCTAGTGTTTTTAAAGAAGTGTTATTTTTCTCTAGATCAATCTCATCAAAATGTTGTTGATCTTTTTGTATTTCTTTTAACAAGTCTGGTGAATTTGAAACCCATTTGTGTAATTGAAAACTTCCTAAGCTTAACAAACTGCATAATTGTTCCTTTGCTGCTGACAATCCAGCCAACGTATTTTCTGAATAAAGAATGTCATCGACATATGTGGAATTATTTAAAATAGAAGCAGCTATAGGGTACTCATTGTGGTGTTGTTCAGCCAACATTTTCAAACATCGAGTTGCCAAATAGGTTGAGCTCTTTAAGCCATAAGTGACTGTGTTTAATTGAATACATTTAACACTTTCGTCTGGAGAGTCTCTCCATAGAATATTTTGTAATGACCTGTGCTTGGGATGTATATTTATATTTCTAAACATATTTTTGATGTCTGTTATAAAAAAATATTCATCAACTCTGAATAGCATTAAGACATCTACCAGCTCCTTTTGTACTACAGGACCATTAAGTAATAAATCATTCAAAGATGTTTTTGTACTTGTTTTCATAGACCCATCAAATACAACCCTGCATTTTGTTGTCTTTTTATCTAGCCTAAGTACAGGGTGGTGTGGTAAAAAGCACACTGGGTCAGTGCATAGGTTATATTGACTTATATCAATTAATGTACCATGTTTTTGCTTTAAATATTCATGAATGAACTCCTTGTATAGCATAAAAAGATTAGAATCTTTTTTGAATCTATGTTTTAAGTTATGAAATCTTTTTAAAGCTAAATATAATGAATCTCCTAAAGCTTGATTGATTGAATCTAATGGTAACTTTAGTGGCAAGATTACTTGTATTTTATTATTTTTTGTATCTTGCTCGACATTGTCACAAAATATCTTTTCGCACAAGTCATTTTCAGAATGTGCCTCTGGGAAGGTCTCTGGAACACTTTCACACTTCCAAAACTTAACAATAGAATTATTTAAATCAGAGTCACATTTTTTGCAAAATAAAGTAATGACTGGTTCGGTGTGTTGTGTAGGTGTGTTACCTGCAATTACATAACCAAGTCTTGTATTTAGTAATGGAGCCTTAGGTGTGACACTACCATCAGGTGCCTCCGAGCTGGATGGAAGAGCTTGAAGCTCAGGCTCAGGCGGCAGCAAGATCTGGAAAAATATGTCAGCACCTAATAGAATGTGTATGTCACTTGGCTCATTGAACCTTTTGTCAGCTAGCATAATTTTGGAAGGTAAAACTATGTTATGCAAGTCAAACTTTCTTTGTGGTAACTTTGAAGTTATTTTGTCCAATAAGTAGCATGTGACTGATATTTTAAAATTCTGAGTGAGGGAATGTATTTCCAAATGGACCTTCTCCTTTAATTTGTTTAAGGTATTGCCTATACCAATAACTGGAGTGTTGGCTGTATCAATTTGTAATTTTAATAGATTTGCAAGTTCTCTAGTCACAAAAGATGCCTGTGATCCAGTATCTAGAAGAGCCTTGACATGAACCTCTGTACCATTGCTCGCTAGTAGTTTTACCTGTGCTGTAGGCAATAGTACCTGCTCGGAGGCTGCCTCAGACATCAATGTTACTGGAGACGATGCTTTATCTTCGTGGAGCAATGTATTGTGCCCTTCTTTGCAGACATTGCATTTAAAGTGATATCTGCATTTTTTACTATGATTATTTAAACAAACCTCACATAGCTTGTTAGATGTGGCAAACTTGATTCGATCACTCGCAGACATAAGTTTAAATTGTGGACAAGTAAAAAGCTTGTGGTTGGACTTACAGAGTAAGCAGCTTCTTGTTCCTACAGTCTCCGCAGCAGCACCTGTGTCTGGATTCGTTTTCTTCACAGCTGCAACGTGAGCCACCTTTGAAGTTGGCTGGGATCGCTCCGGTGGCCGCTCTGCATTCTCGAGTGCAAGTGCACGCTTATCCAGAAAATTAATAAGGTGCGCAACCGTAGGATCTCGTACTCGAGCCAATTGGAATTCCCTACTGCACAATAAGTCTAACTTTCTAGTCAGAATGCAAAGTACTATTGGATCCCATTGATCAACTGAGTGACCTAGGTTTTTTAAGGCAGCTAATTGTTGCTTAACAATAGATACAAAGTTTCTTAAATTACTCGCTGTTGATTTACATATAGGTACAATATCTAACAAAATGTGTATATGTTCATTTGTAATTTTATATTTGTTGTCGTATCTATCAACTAGAATTTTCCTGGCCTCATGGTAACTCTCAGTAGACAATGTGAGATTTTTGACCAGATCGTGAGGTTCCTCTCGCAG